CCCCACCACCCCTCCAGCATGAGAAGAGGGGCGCACATGCTTTAAGCAGTCTTCTTGATTGGGATATGAGGCCCTCTTTGCATGTTCATTTCCAACCGTGACAGCTTACCTGGAGTCCTGATGGAAAGTGGACTCTGGCGAGCAGGCCTGCTCCCCTCTGGGCTGTGGTGGTCCCCGACACTGAAAAGGCTCACCGCCCTGAGAGAGGACACAGAAGTGAATTTGTCTCGACTCTGGATATGCCAGGGCCTGAACTGCTCAATATGGGCAAAGGGGCAGACCCTGCCTTCTCTCACACATTCTGAAGCTTTCCTTCCTCTTTGTTCCTCACAATACCCTTCCTGACTCTCAGATCCATCTTTCAGGTCCAAGTCACCTGTGAGCCCCCACCTCATCCCCTCAACCCCAAGTCAGAGGTGACACCTGTGTTCCACAGTCGACCCCCATAGCTAGTCTGTGTTGACAGTAAGGGCTTATTTTTATATCTTGTATCAGAGGTCTGACTGTTTCCTCCTTGGTGGCCCTGGATCCTTGCCACTACATCTCTGAGGCCTTACCCCAGGACAAATCCCCTCCTCCTTCACATAGCGCAGTAAAAGGAAAGGCACAGCACATATAAGGAGGAAGGAGGGGGAAACATGTTAATTCCTCCAGGTACACCACAGTGGAAATACCATCTGGGTACCTTCTAGTCAGAGTGACGCTTCTTAAGTCCAGTAGGGTCCCACAGACATGCTGAATGCAAAGCCACTGTCAGGTGTAACAGGGCCCCTTAAAAGTCACTCCTCTGAGAGGAGCGGGGGTGGTGGCACAAGCCTTTCATCACGACCCTAGCAAGGCTGAGGCAGGCAGTTCTACTGACTTCGAGGCCACCCTAGTGGACACAGCAACAACACGACATGGCCGCCACCCTTCCAGTCAGGTCACAAAATGGCTCCAGGCTCCCTATTCCTGGGAGCAGGAAGAGCCCTCTGACTGACTCCCAGGCACCACAGCTTAGGACTTGAACCCCCAAGGTGCCCAATGTGGCACGACATACCTGAAGGTCGCCCTCCTGGGAACCTCACAAAATGGCTCCGAGGCCCCCAGCCCTGGATGTAGGAGGACCAGCCTGAAGGTCTCCCTCCCGGAAACCTCACAAAATGGCTCTTAGGTCGCCAGTCCCAGATGCAAGGGCGCACTTTGACCCTCACCCTTCTAGGTCCTTTGGAAAATGGCTCCAAACCCCCATTGTCTGATGCCGGAAGCACCTCGTCCATCCCTCATACCCTTCAGGCCCCTCAGAAAGTGCCCCTGAGCCCCCCAATGCCCAGATACCTGGAGTGCGTTGTGGCCGACACCCTTCTGGTCCCCAAGAAAGATGGCCCCGAGCCCCACTAGGTCTCCGGATGTAGGAAGACCAGCCTGGCCGGTTCTGTCTGGATCTTCACAAAATGGCTCCAAGCCCCCTAGCCCCGGATGTAGGAAGACCAGATGGCTGGGTCCTTCCCGAGCCTCACAAAATGGCTCTGAGCCTCCCCAGCCCCGGATGTGGATGCTGCCGAAGCTTGAGGGGGCTTCTTCCTACAGTCACTCTCACCTTGGGTGGAGAACTGTCAAAACAAACAGTCGAGCTTGACTCTAGGCCCGTGTGCTTCAGCTGGGCTTCTGAGACTCCACGTCCATTCAGCTGGGCTCTGGGACCCCACATCCATTCAGCTGGGCTTCTGAGACCCCATGTCCATTCAGCTGGGCTTCTGGGACCCCACGTCCATTCAGCTAGACTTCTGAGACCCCATATCCATTCGGTTGGGCTTCTGAGACTCCATGTCCATTCAGCTGGGCTCTGGGACCCCATGTCCATTCGGCTGGGCTTCTGAGACCCCATGTCCATTCAAATTGGCTTCTCAGACCCCACGTCCATTCAGCTGTGCTTCTGAGACCCCACATCCATTCGACTGGGCTTCTGAGACCCCACGTTCATTCGACTGTGCTTCTGAGACCCCACGTCAATTCGGCTGGGCTTCTGGGACCCCATGTCCATTCAACTGGGCTTCTCAGACCCCACGTCCATTCAGCTGGGCTTCTAAGACCCCACATCCATATTCCCCAAGAAAGCCACGTGTCTCCACATCTCTGGGACCTCAGAAGTGGACACCAAGAGGGAAGGCTGATGGTCCAGGGGAAGAGGAAGGGGCTAATTTCCACAGGACGACCCTTTTGGGGGCAGCACACACCACACTGACTTCACTAGGCTCTGGGGACCCGCTGACCACAGCCAGCCTTCCACGGTCCACTTGGGACCTACTTGCACCCTGAGATTTAAGTGACCCTCATTCCCTTAGTGAATGCCTTCCAGAAGATGGAGCCTAGGCAGAGCAGTCACGGAAATAAATGGTTCCTGTTTGCTCATGTGGGCCCCACTTGTGTCTAGGCTGTCCACGGGCAAGGGCTGCCTCAGTAGGGGCCCTCTTCTCCTCAAAAGGCCCATTTCTTGCCTCCTGAGGTGCTCACCTCCACTCTGAAAGCATGACATGGTCATCTCTCTTCCTGAAAGCTCACAAAGTGATCCCCACCCCACCCCTAACCAGAATGTACAAGGTGAAAGGTAGAAGGGTGACTCCAGTCTGGCTATTGCAATGAGGTGACCCCCAGCCTCCAGTTGCTGCGGGAGCTCCTTCTCCTCCTTCAGCCAATAACGTTTACAATACCAGCCCACTTGGGCCTGGCCTCTTTGGCTTTAAAAAGCAGCGGTAGCCATGTGCTCGCTCTGTTGATTCTAGCTCCACTTCTGGCTACTAGACTCCTTTCCTGGTTGTGCAGATGGCTGTTTTCTAGGACAGTGATCTGTAAGTTTTTTCCCTTTAAATAAATAACCCTTTTATTAATCATAATTCCAAACTGATGTGGGAATGTTTTGTGACTTATGCCATCATCTGGTGCCCAACATTTGGTTTTAGAACCCCCCACACACACTCGGCTGCCTGCCCTCCCTCAGTCGCGGCCTGGGCGAGGGGCTAGCAGTTCAATATAGAATATCGCACAGTGGCTTTTCTTGGTGCAATTCTTTATATTTTCTTTTTACATGCCTTGGATTGGCTTCAAGTCCCCATATACCCTATCATATGTCTCCCCACATAGATTTAAACTCCACGCCTCCCTGGCTCCATGGGCCTGGATAGTCTGTGGCCGCCTGGATTGTTCTTTTCTAAGCAGTTTTTAAATCCCCCTTTCAGCACAGTTCTTAAGCAGTGCAAGTCAGAGCACAAGCGGTTGCCAAAGGCTGCAACCCCTCAGGGCAATTCTTTGTCACATGGAGGTGTATGCGGCTTCTGGGTTGCTGTTCTCTTACTCTGGATTCTGGGTTTCTGGTTCCGTGTATGAAATTGATTTAATTACATTTACTTTGTTGAGCAACTCATATTTCCCAGTCTTTAACAAATACTAATGCGGACTTTGAAACAAGACCCTGTTTCTGTCTCCTTTGCATTGGTTCTAGTCTCGACTTGGCAACACTGCCACCTTCTGGATAATAGGTAATATGGCAGTTTTCATTTCCATGCAACTTTTACTGGTTTCTTTACTAATACAATGGGTTATACCATGCGAGGTTTATATGACTATGGGGATACCTCAATTTACTGGTTACTAGGTTTCAGTTTTCTTCTCCATATTCTACCATTAAGGAAGAATATGGCACTCCTAGGAACGATACAAGCTGTATGGACTAATAATGAACAGCTAGTTGAAAGGATTAAAATTATTGAAAATCAGAGGTTATTTGAACAAATGGATACTATGATAGGCAAAATTAACTCCATATCCAAGGGTACTAGGAAGTTACCTGAAAGGGTTCATACTGTTGAATTTGACATTCAGAAGTTATCACAAAGTTTTGATAAGGTAACAGTCAGATTGTACCTCCAGGATGGGAATCTGTACCATGATGGCCAGATTGTTGGGGTATCTGTTCTACCCAGTACCCCACAGCCAGCCAGCAACAAAGAAAATCACACACAAGACTCCATAAGATTATAAACTGATTGGTCCATTAGGTCAGGCTTCTTTTAACTCTTATAGCTTATATTAACCCATTATTCTGATCTATGTTAGCCACATGGCTTGGTACCTTTTTCAGTTGTCAGCTTACATGTTGCCTCTTCGGTGGTCTGCGCAAGAGTGACAGAGGGAGCTTCCTAGAATACTCCCAGTCTCTTCTCCACCTCTACTTCCTGTCTGGCTTTACTGCCTATACGGCCTGCCTGGCCAATCAGCGTTTTATTAAAATATGATTGACAGAATACAGATAATTCTCCCACACCAGGAATCTACATGATATCCAAGAAAAGTTCACAGAGGAGATGTTATCCTTGAAGGGAAACATTAAAACTTTAGAATCACAGGTGCAGAATGGGGACCAGGAAATTGATACCTTAGTGAAATCACTGGAAACATATGTAGGTCAGGAGATTCAGGCTTTATGAGAGATAATGATAAAAAGATTTGAAATGATTGAGGAAATTATTGAAACTATGGTGTGGGAGAATTGTCTGTATTCTGTCAATCATGTTTTAAATAAACGCTGATTGGCCAGGCAGGAGGTGTAGGTGGGAAAACCAGACAGGAAGTGGAAATGATGTAAGGAGAGCAGGAGAATTCTGGGGAGGAGGAAGTTGATTCCTCCCACTCCTGCCCAGATCACGGAAGCAGCAGGATGTGATCTGCCCCAGCTAAAAAAGGTACTGAGCCATATGGCTAAAATAGATCAGAGTAATGGGTTAATCAAGATGTGAGAATTAGCCAGTAAGAGGCTAGACCTAATGGGCCAATCAGCTTTATAACTTATAGATATCTCTCAGTGTGATTTTTCCTTGGACTAAATAGCTTGGGGGTCGGGCGGGACAGAAAACCCCAACAAACAAATAGGCCCCCTCATGTTACAAAACTAATGAACAGGTAAGAAGCCCCAAGGACAGGACACAATGTCACCGCTGGCTGTCAGAACTGGTTTACTGAGGGTTTTAGTGTCATACCCTGTAATTTACAATGAAAAAGTGTCAACTTCTAAAGGCTCAAAGGGAGCCAAATAAGGTAGATGGATGCCAATAGGAATGAATGATATAAAAGAAATTAAGCAAGCCATTAATTATGGCTTATACTCTGCATTTGTTAAGGAAATAAGGACTTGGGCTTTTAATGTCAGAGCTATTCCCCATGATTTTTTTCAGTTAGTGTCTGCAGTATTGGATGATGGACCTTCCTTGATGTTTGGAATTTATTTCAGAGAAGAATCCAAACATATGGAACAGCAAGGAAGAGCAAAAGGTGTGGAGGTCTCCCAAAATCAAATTTTTGGCGTAGGAGCATATGCTGATCCATAGGTCCAAGCTCTTTAGGATGAAGAAGCATTGTCTCTATGCCACAAAGCAGCCTTGAATGCTTAGTATAGGATACAAGAATAAGGGAAAAGGTTGAATCATATACCAGGGTTAGGCAGGGACAGAAAGAACCCTTTACTGACTTTTTGCAAAGATTAATTAAGGCTCTGCAAATAGGAGCAACACATC